GGTGTTTTTCATAAATATTGAGTATTTCAGTGATTTTTTCAACGAGGTCTGTATCTGATTCCTGTATATTGTTGATGTTTGTGGTATTTGTTTCAATTCGGTTAACATATTGTAATTTCAGATTTTCTGTTTCTTCAAGTTTCATTGTGATTTCCGCTTGCTCTAGTTTGTCTACTAGTTTTCGAAAATCTAAATCAGGCTCTCGAATTGAGGAGGGATGGGATGCTCTCTTTTTTATTGCTATTTTCCTTAATTGAGGTGTTAAGGTCATCATTAAGATTTCTGTCATTTTTGTGTTTTTATAGTCAAGTGTATTTAATGAATATGCTTTTCGAACTAATGTTTCGATACGTACTGCTAATTTTTTGATGGTTTCATTTGGTAATCTGCGAATTTCATTACATAAAACTCTTTATTGTTGTTTGTTTCTTTCGGAGTCAAACATTTTTGAAAATTCTTGTGTAAATCTTTTCCAATTTGATTTTATTTCTATAGGCAATACTGAAAACCATTTTTGGGCTGCGCCGTCTAAGGTTTTCTGTATCAACAATGTGCGTCGATGTATCCAGTTTTGATGTAGTGGCGTATTAATTGGTTCAGGTCCTATATTTAAAATTAAATTTGCTGTTACTGCATTTAAATAATCTTCTACAGAATATTCAGGGTCTGTTCCTGTGAATACCATTAATGGTTTGTTTGATGTTATTGATGATCCACCCATAAGGTATGGATTCATTGTCATTTGTAATGATTCTGCTGCATTTGGCATTTGTGAAAAATTTGAAAGTTGATTTTTTATTATTTCGTGTTGTTGAAGGTAATATGGAAGAGGTATTTCATTTTGCATTTGTGTTGGTTGATATGAGTGTGTAATCATTGGGTTTTGTGGCTGAATTGGTTGAAAAGATTTTGTATTAATTGGGTTTTGCATTTGTATTGGTTGTTGATTTTGTGTATCTATTTGATGTGGAGAAAAAATTCTATGATATGTATATGGTTTTTGCACTCCTTGTCCGCGATATTCTTGGGTATATGGTGCAAATATATCTGGTTGTAAATAATCATCATCAGAGGATAGGTAATCCGTTTGATGAGGTGCTTGTTTTTTATTTTTATTCTGTTGAAAGAATGGGTAATTTTCACTACGATCCTGTGGAGGATGTGAATTAGTTTGAAAATTTACTGAGTTGGTTGTTGCCATTGGATTATCCCAATATCGAGATCTTATCTGATTATTATTTTTTTTTCGTGGGGGATAGTTTGTTTTTGATGAAGGTGTGTAATTATAATTGTGTTCCGCAAAATTGTTTCTTGTGAACGTTCTGCGTGTTTTTGACGGTATTGTCATGGGTCTATATGTTTGATAATCCATTTGTGAATATTTTGGAGCAACCGAAGGTTTAACGGTTGATTGTAAGGTTACCTGTGCTAGTGAAGTGTTTGTATTTCTTGGTGTTGCTAAATTTGGACGTATCGGTGAAATACTTTGTTGTGTAGTTGTTGTTGTTTGGACAATTTCTTCATTTATGAAGTGTGATGGTGTCTGAATATCTTGTTGAGTGAGATTCCTAGTTCCATTAAGGTTTTCATTGTGTATGACGGTCGAATTTAAACTGTTATTTCGCGTATCAGGTAAAAATGTATTGTAGTTTAATGGTGTTGCATCAATGGTTAATGGTACTACTCTTACATAGTCTCTTGTATACGATATTGTACTTATTGCTTGACTTGAGATTGATTGTGGGATATTTATGAATGCATAATGAGACCATTCGGGGTCCCAAACGTAGTCTGATTGTTCTGTGATGGCGGTATCATCGTTTGAATTTTGAGGTCTAAAATTTTTTCTTGCTTGTGAAATTAAATCTATATTATGTGTGAAATAATCTATTATAAACCATGCCAAAATTTTTTGTAAGTCATGTTTTGTATGTTGTGAAACTTCATTTTTAGTGAAATTTTCTTTAATTATATGTAGGAAAGTTGAAAATAGTGTGATTTCATGTCGTACCCTTATATGTTTAGATGTCTCTGTCGGTGAGACATTTGGGATTGGGATTTCGTTTTCTAATATTGAGATATAACTATATATTATTGCAAAAACTTCATTAGTAAATATGGAGTTTGCTCTTTGTGAGTTATGATATTGTATGCTTTTTATATATTCTGAGAATACTTTTGAAAATTCTAAATCATGGTCGTCTGTTTGAATTACATATTTGCGGTGATTCGGGTTTGGTGAGCTGAATTCTATGGTGTAGATTTCGTATTGTTGTGTCAAATTACATATATCTTTCAGATAGTGATCAATAATTTGTCTTTTGATTTTTACATCTGGGAACTGTGCTTTACATGGGCTGATTCCGGGTTCAAATAAATTTAGGAGTAAATTCTTGCAAAAATCATGCTGTCCTCTATTATCGGGTGCATCTACGAGGAAGGGGTAGATATCGTCATCATCTGGACTATCTTCACTTGGAGTGTGTGTTGGCTCATTTTTTTTGTTTAACGACTGTTAATAGGTAATTATCGATGTGTCTAATTGGTTGATTCCAATTATACAAATGTACTGGTTTGTGTTTATATTGCTTTTTTATTCTTCTTTTTCCTCTTTTTGATGAATTTGAAGTTGTTTCTGAGTCGGAAAAATATAATTGATCGTGAATGGGGCAATTTTTATCTATAGATTCTTTTAATTTATATAGTTCGTCTAAATTGCTGGCTTCTGATTCTGAAAATGCGTTTCTATTTTTGGAAAATCTTTTTCGTGTTATTTGTCTTTGTTTGGTTATTATTTTCCTTTTTAGTGTTTGTCGTTTTGTTCTAATATATCCAACTGTTTGTGTATGAGGTGTGATTACAAGGTCGTATTTTTTGTTATCTATTTCACAGTTGTGTAAAACGATTGTTTGTTTGTTTCCTAGATTTTTAAATGACATAAGGTTTAGGATGACGGATGCAAAAGTTGTTAGATGATTTCTATTTTCTTAAACTGTTAGTTCTTACAATTTTTTTGGTTAGCTTAACCTGGGTCTATTTTTTCAGGGTTGGAGAGAAAAGTATATCGATTCCGAAGAATGATTTTTTACTTTCTCTTGGCTAGTATAAGCTAAAGTGTTAACTTACTTAATCTTACTTAGGGGTAGTGATTGTGTTCAAGGGTTGGAGAATAGTAAATCGATCCACAAGTTTCAGGTATAATTAGAACGCGAGTGGTTCGTTAGATACTATTTTAAATTTACTAAGTCTAAGATTTATCCTGGGTCTTGATAAGAGGAGGGTTCAAGTGAAGGATGAATAACCGAAGTTCTTCACTGTTTATCCTAATTTGAATGATTAGTTTTGTTCAAAAATTTCTATTAGTCTTGGGTTTTTTGAAAGGGTTGGATAGTGAATCGACGTTTGAGGTCGTTAGCCACTAGCTAAGTGGGTGGGGGAGAACAAAATTGTTCTTTTTGATCCAAGGATAGGCCTTGATGATCAAGTTTTAAATTTAATTAAATAGAAAATGAATTAAGATTCAAGGATAAGCCTTGATGATCTGATTTTAAAATTAAGTGAATTTAAGTTTAAAATGGTTTAAATTTGTTTAAGAAAAAGATTTAGTTTTTTGATGATATTAGTGAGCTTATGAATGCTGTTATGTTTAGATGATGAAGCTGGGACAACTGATGATTTTATGATTACTAATAGTTTATTGTCATGCTACTAATTTTTGTTTTGATTTTCAATAAATATTTTCCAAACATGTTTTATATAATACTGCAGAATTTTAGGAAAACGATCTGAGATCTTTTTATCAATCGTTATTGTATATTAATAGTTTTGTTTAGCGCCTGAGATGATTATGAAGATTGACTTCAAGATTTTATGTTTGCAAATGAAAATCTAAATTCATTGCTAATAAAATTCTAAATATAAAAGTCTGTGTTGGCTTTTGCCGTACTATCATATAACTATTTGGTAAGTTTCTACTTTGTCGTATGTCGTCTCTGGTTCGAGGTCTTCTTGCAATTCGGGGTAGTTCTGTTATCGTTCGGAATATTGGCTCTGATCTATTGAGTCGTAGAGACATTTCGATTAAATTATCATCGTATAACATTTTAAAAATGTTTTGTCTAAATTCTAATCTATTTTTGGTTAATTCTAAGCTATTAAGGTCTTGTTCGAGACTTATGGTCGCACCAGATGAGTTAGGACCGATGTGGTTAACTCATAGTGTAATTTCGGATAGGGTACACCGTCTGCTCGTCACGCTATCTTATTTTTGGCCGGATAGATTCGTGCAACTTCTTAGTCTAATACCGATCCTAATTTACTCTTATACTATCTAGTCTCAGGTTGTTTAACTAGTCTCTGCTAGGCTCAATAGATCTAGGGTATACTGGTTTATTGCGGCTGCTGAAGTTCCTTTGGAGAGGCAACTAATTTCTAAGTTAAATTCAAATCTCTCTGGTGCTGAAATTACAAGTAATTTCAGCACTTACAAATAAGTGGGTTGTTAGTTAGATGGATCATGATTGGTTAATATTAAATACTTTACAGTGGTAAAATATCTAATTTATCCAATCATAAAATGTAGTTTAGATCAGGTTCCATCCGATACAAGCCTATTATTTTTTGCAGTATTTTTTTTCATCAAATAGACGTTTGCAGTTTTCAAGTTTAGAGCTTCATAATAAGTTATGGAGCTTTATAAAAATTATGGCATTATTTTATAAGTTTTTATTCCACTCTGTTCTGAGTCATTTTCTTACATCATCGCACTGACATTTTTGCAGCAGATAGGTTTAGTTTTAACAGATGATGCAACAATTTTTTCCTGCATTGCCAATATAGTTCTGCAGTCTGAGTTTTTTTTGGCCAAATTCCGGCATTTTGATTTTGCCTTACCCCATCCCTTTTTCCATGCCTTTTACTTCTTTTCCTTGGGGGGGGGGGTGAAAAAGAAAAAAGATTTTCGATAAAGTTTCAAATAATAAGACTCCGCTTCTGTTCAGAAATAGCACAGGACACTCCCCTTGGACCCGACAGGATGCAATCAGCGTTAAGAGATGGAGTGTATCTATGCAAACTAATGAACTCAATTGACCCCGGCAGCTGCAGACCGAACACACACTCCAACATTCCATTTAAACACATGGAAAATATTGGTATGTTTTTGAATGCGTGTGAAGAATACGGGGTGAAGAAGCTGGACATGTTCCAAACTGTGGACCTTTATGACAACACAAACTTCGGAGGGGTCATTCAAACGATTCTCGCTCTAGGTAAAGGGATCTACTTAACAATTGCCCCAAAAGGGGGGCAATTGTTATGTAGACTAAAATAACGCGTTTTCGACCAATCAGAATGCAGCAAAATTATAATTCTCAATAAAAAGCTCAGTGCTATTTTACTGCTTTTATTAATAGGGGTGGCAATTCTTAAGTAGATAATAAGGGGGGGGGGGGGCAATTGTTAAGTAGATCCAGGTAAAGTTCATTAACAATTCTTTGAAATGTTTCTGAACTCATAAAAAGTGACAAAAATTTTTGCTAAGTTTTGAAATTTTTAGTTCAGTGGTAGATTTATAATTATGCATGGCGGATTGGTTGGGGCGGCGGTTTTTCAACCTTTTTTGCTTATTATTTTTTAAAAATTTTATACAGATTTACTAAACTACAAGAAGGATGCGATCCTTCATATTCGCGAACAGTCCTGCACACCACGCCAATGGTTGCGAAAACTTAGCGTTTAGGTTCCTCATCAAAATAGTCATACGAATACCGTATGTTTTTTTAAAAATTTGATGTTCTGTAAACGGTCAAGTTTTGTTGTCTTTAAAAAATACCAATTTAGGGATTCTGGATCCTTTGGGTTGAAAACAGGTCAAAGTCGGGAGGATTATGGGTGTGCAAATATCCTCCCCACCCCCCTCTGCTTCCAGGTTGTTAGTGACGCCAAAGCAAACCACGATCACGGAAAATACGTGATCAATATGTACACTTCCCCACATAAACCTTTTTCGGCTGTGAACTTAAATAATTGAGTAACAAAAGCTTAAATAAAATTATCTAATTATCTTTTTATCTTGAATCTCAGGATTTTTCGCCATTATAGCCAGCAGCCTTGTAAGAAAAAAGTTAGCCCCATCACGCTGTGGCTGTATTATGGTATAATTCGTGAGTGGTAGGCGTTCTAAAGGGAATACGCCAAATCTATTATTCTTTTATTTTCTGATACTTTTCAGGCAGAAAATGCCAGGCTAACAACTTCCTAGGTCCAGTTCTGGGTCCCAAAGAGTCCACTCCTCGGAGTCGAGAATGGACCAATGAACAATTACGGAGAGGCAATGCTATCATTTCACTGCAAATGGGAACTAACAAACACCAGGACTCTGGCTTAGACGCACTCTGCAGACGACAGATCATACCACACCCTAACTCAGCACAATGACAAAGGATGCAGTTTTTACTTTATATCAAACGAAAACATTCCTGTCTTTTTGCCGACCCATCGTACTTTCTACACTTCACAGTCTGCAAAACTTAAATGACCGAAACCTTCCAATTTTGTAATTATGCGAATGATATAATAGTATGAAAAATCATTAAAACGCATTATTGAAGCAGCCAAAAAACTTCAAAAATATGTTTCGACGAACTTTTAGCGATTCGACCTGTCTGGTATTTAGGTTTTTAATTGCCCTACTTTTGACTAAGTGAAGTTACTTAATCAGCAATGGAGTTTAAAAATTGGCTAAATCTTTGTTTTCTGTTATTTAATTTAATTGGATCATCTCTTTTGACTCTGTTCTTATCACGTCTATTATTGTCCGAACTACTGAAAATGGGGATGTAACTTGTATCCTGTTGTAAGGTAGTTTTTTATTTCTCACGCAAAACCAGGTACCACAAATAATCACCGGGAATGAGTCGAGTGATATCTCACGCTAAAAAATTTTCAGTCAAGATTCCAATAACATCATTTTTTAAAAAAAGGTTTTCCAATGTCGAGAAAACCCGGTTTGAAACGTTTGAGTTTTAGTCCAATTTTGGGCAATTGAAGCGAGCGAGTAAATCTTAAAAGACAAAAATTGTCAATCGAGAAGCGTTAAATTTAGTATTACTCCAAGAAAACTAGTTATAAAAGCGTCATTTAGCGCTTTTATGAAATTAAACAGTTTTTTAAATCGTAAAATATTCGGCAAAAAATTAGAACGCAGTTTATCTGAAATTATTTTTTTCTGTTTATCGAATCACCTATTTTCTACGTTTTTAATTCAAAGCTGACCTAAATTACCAAAAAAAATGCCTAAACACGAAATTTAAAACGCGTTTATTCAAAATGGGTTGATTTTGGGTTAAAAGTGATGAAAACAAAAATTGTTTCGAGTTTTAGTAGATTTATTATGGTGCAGTTTGTTTTGCGAAATTGATGTACAAACATTTACTCCAAAGCTACCGAATCAACTATTTAGAAAGTTATATCAAAAAAAGCCTCCTATGTAGCCAAAGTCCAACAAAAACGATTTCAACAGTGCCGAATTCAAAAATATATTTTTTAACAATAACAAATTTTTTCCGAAAAGATGCCGAAAAAAAGTCATCGAAGGCTTAGATAGTATTTCTAACCGGCAAAATAAAATTTCCAGAAGATATGTTAAATTTTCGCCTTCCCTTATGAGATTACCCAAAGAAAAATTTTTGGTGATCTTCATCATGTTAAGCGTTTATTGTAAAAAAAATTAGATGGGAGAAAACCTTAATACCATTGAAAGTTCCCGCCTAGTTTTAAATTTTTTTCTGTCGATCATAATGGGATGGAGGCCTGAAAGACTCCATCTTTTAAGTTACTTTATATATAGTTCCGATCTTACAAGCTTTGTAATCAGATTGAGTATACAGTCTATATTGCTTCGAATTACAGAATAATATTGGTAAGTTTCATTTGTTTGCACCTTGATGAAAGCAAGGTAAAAAACGAAAAATTTTTTTGTGTAGAAAACTCGATTTTTTTTTAAAACTCATGAGAGCGCGTTATCTAACATAAAAGTTTCGTTTCTTTTTAAAATTTTTAGAGTGTACACAGAAGTAAATTTTTTTGGTGATTGCTATCATGGTAAGATACTGGTAAAATTTTTGCATAAAGAATGAGTTCTTTATTTGTTATTTCTTAATTGAAGTTATGGTCAGATTTGATGTTTTTTTAGTTTTGAGTAATCTTTTAAAGAGCGTTAACTGTCAAAATTATTGTTAATAGTGGATATAATTTTGCTGAAAGATTTTTTAACTTCGAAAAAACACAAATTTGTTAGAGAACAAAGTGAATTTGAAGGATAGTTTGTAAAGCATTGCATCGTATATTAAGCTTACCTCCTTATAATAAGCTTTTATTTAAATACTATAAATTTCAAAAAGTTCTGTATTGCATAGAATATCACTACAGTAAACTGTCAATTTTCACAGTTCAAATGGTTTCGTATGGGTTCCACTATCATGAAATTGTCTCTACTTTTTTTGTCTGCTCATATTTAGCGACGACATGATTTAAAATTTTGAAGTCTCTGTTCCTTGATTTAAGATTGATTACTCCCTTAAGTACTCTCCTTTTCTACCAGGGGTCTGTCTCCAGAATCTTTTAGAAGCCGATTTTTCAAACTTTGCTGCAAAAGTTGAACTTAACTGACTTATGACAGCAGAAAAAGTCCTTGCATAAAAACATAGCATCTTGGTACACCTAAGCTCCAGGTTTCCGTTTTTGGTGCATTTTATGAGTTTTGCAATGAGATCGATGGAAAGAAATTAAGTTTGGCATCTACCTTGAGAGAGTATCTATAGTCACTTTCCTTCAGTTTTTCCCTAGTAGTTCTCTTATCTGACTGGAGTTCTCTTCATCAGGAGCTAAGTAACGCTAGTCTATGTCCAATTGCACTTATTTACCCGTATTTTCATCATAGAATTTTTCGGATAACTTTTATTAGAGATCTTTTAACCTCAGGTATGCACACTGCACCATGAAAAATCCAACAAATATGATTTTCTGTATTCATTGTTTTTTTTTCAACAACTCCAACTCATACAAGTCCTTCTCAATCGTAATTAATAACTTGAAAAGAAAACAGTGATAGCATTGCTAGTTTTTTCGGCGTTCATACATTTCGTGATTGTATGGCGAGATCTATCCTTGATCTGGAATCGATATGAAAAATTTGTCTAGAAATTCTTTTGTTACTTCAACAGAGGAGTTTGACTGATCCATTTTCCAATTTGAAGCTGAAAATATTTTTTTTCTGAAAATGTTCTAACATTTCGTTCCTACTTGCATAAATCTTCATATAGTCTCCGATCTCGAGTCCAAATTCAGTTTTTTTTTTAAAATTGGTGCAAAAATTGCAATTTTTTAAATTCATCTGGAACAAGTAAAACCAGATCATTCTTCAATTTTTATCAAAGTAGTATGCAGAAAAATTATTTGCAGAGAAAAATTTGAACATTATTTTTGATCATGTCATCTATTTTGAAAATTTCCTAAAAATCACATTCTCCTATTTTTTTTTAAAGTTGTATCCTCTCTTTATAGGTTATTCTGGTCTCATTACATTCATATCTTTTTTCTTGTTCCCTCCAAGAAAAATTCGATTTGTCAAAAATGGTTGAGCTTCATGACAGGAACAGAAGTTATAAAATAATCCCATAGCTTCCAATACGTTTTTATAGTGATCAATCACAATAACGATTTATCTTTTACTCAAACTTGTTCCTTGAAATTTTTCTGCCTTCTTGCTCAAACAGATTGATGACTTTTTAATGCATTCGCAATATACACCGAAGAAAATAACCAATTAGATAAAGCGTCCCAAAAATTTGAGTTTTCTCCACAAAAACATAGAAAAACTCTTTTTTCTGACCATTATCTTTTGCTTGTGCGTACAATGAAACCTTACCAGTTGTATTTCCTATCTTAACACATTGCAGACTTTTTATCCAATCCTAATACATACAATAAAAACCGGAAATATAAACTGTATTTTATTACGTTGTGGGTCTGCCATGACCACTATGATCACTTGCAACATCTACAACTGGCGATATTGTGATTTTTTGAAATCCGAGCTGAAATTTGACCGAAAAATTTTAAAAATTAAGAGCTTTTAGGCGACATTATTGTTCTTCGAAATTCGAATTGTTTTTTGACTTAGTTTTAAAAGTTTTTTATTTGGTTTATTTATCTCCATTTTATAAGTCAGAAAGCCTCTAAATTTTCAAACAGAAACTTAAATTTTTGTTTCCAGTTCTTATTTCAATTTTCTTAATTAGAACATTCTGCTTCAGCAATTTGATATTTTGTCGTTCTTTTCATTTTTTTCAGTTTTTTTTCAAGTTTTCTGAAAATTTGAAATGATTTGTTTGGGTGATTGGTATCGCAAGTGGTCCCATCTGCAGCCTCGCCTCTGTGTAATTAAATTGGGAGAATAATTGTAATGAATGATAAAAAATTGATAATTTTGATTGCAATTTTAAGCTATTAATTTAATTTTTTCATGTCACATATAAATAGCCAAAATGTGGAACAGATAAAATTCATATCATATTTTAAATCTGTTATTGTATGTGTCACTTACTTAGATAGCATTAGCAAGCGTTATCAATTTGGAACAGATGTTATTAGGTCAACAGTTTGTTCAACAAAATCAAGCTAATCTTTTAATGGTTTTGAGTTAGGACCGAAGTGTATAACTCATAGAGTAATTTCGGATAGGGTACACCGTCTGCTCGTCACGCTATCTTATTTTCGGCCGGATAGATTCGTGCAACTTCTTAGTCTAATACCGATCCTAATCTTACTCTTATACTATCTAGTCTCAGGTTGTTTAACTAGTCTCTGCTAGGCTCAATAGATCTAGGGTATACTGGTTTATTGCGGCTGCTGAAGTACTCGGGAGAGTTCAACTAATTTCTAAGTTAAATTCAAATCTCTCTGGTGCTGAAATTACAAGTAATTTCAGCACTTACAAATAAGTGGATTGTTAGTCAGATGGATCATGATTGGTTAATATTAAATACTTTACATTGGTAAAATATCTAATTTATCCAATCATAAAATGTAGTTTAGATCAGGTTCCACCCATCCGGGTTTTACAGAGTTTTTTAGAATAGTCTTTCTGCAATTCAAAGGATGGATGATGGACGTTGGTATTTGGCGAACATCTTATTTCTTCTGGGTTTTCTTATTAGAGAAGTCCCAGATTCAATCGTTGTGTCTTCTCAAGACAACGACTGGGTTTTCGCAACAAACTCAAATCTGATTTCAGAATGGTTGGCTATGTCAGGTTTTTCTGTTTCATTGATGAGAACTTCTTTGTGTTTTGATCTTGTCTAGGAAAGGCGTGGAGATTGTGCGTGGAGGGGATGCCTGGTTACTCGGATCTGTACGTATACTTGAACATCGAGGTGGTCATTGGTCTAGTTCAATGAAGTCCTTTTCTGCGAAGTCAAGTCGTACTCTAAATCCTTTGAGTTGTGATTGTGAGCGGCATATTGATTGTAGTTGGCCATTCTTTCTCGAGTGTAGTGAGGTCGTTTTGTCTTTGGATGTTCGTCCTTGGTGTTGTATTCTGATCTATGTATTGCATAATGTAATTTACATTTTATAAAACTTTTATTAGTTTAATATTTTTTAATTATGATTTTAGTTAGTTGTTTTCACAAAAGTTTTTTGTTTTAGTTCAGTTATTTTGAAGAGTTACTCACCCTTGAGTAGCTCTTATTAAAAATAGGAGTGTGGT